AAGAAGAAGGGCCGTTTTCCCCCAGCCACAATTGCACGGCACTGGGTGCCTTAAGCCCCTCATTGTGGCCTCTGGCCGGCTCTTGCCCGGCCGCTGACTCACATCCAGTCTTTCCGCTTCGGGGGGGGAAACAGTGCCCCCACCCCAGCCGTGCACAGCTCAGCCTTCCTGGGGAGGACACGGCCGGGACACCCGGCTTATCCCAGCGCAGGAAGCACCTCTAAAATTAAACCTCACCGGCAGTCAAGGCCACGGCGCTGGGCGTGCACTGTGCACGACACTCGCTCCCTGCCAGCACCCATGGGACCCCCAGCCGCTGCCCACCCTGAAAGGGTGGGGGGTCCAGTTTCAGGTGCAGCCCCCAGGGACAGACAGAGGCACCCCACTCGCAAAGCGCTGGCGCAGCCGGCTCTGCCGACTCAGCAGCTGCGGGGCCGGCTTTCCGATGGGAAACCGGCACGGAGGAACGGGGGAAAAAACAACACTGGCAGCCCGGGGATTGTCAGGGGGAATTTGCTGAGCTGCCGTCTCCAAACACAAGGGCTGCCCGCGGCACCCACCCGGCACGGCCCCTTCCCTGTCTCCCCCCCCCCCCGGCTGCAGAGCCCCTTCCCCGGGGTCGGGGACACTGCGGGGACATTGCTAGCCGAGGGGGATGGTGAAAGCACTGGGTGAAGCCATGGAACAGGCAGGCTCAATCCTTGGCGTGCCTCAGTTTCCCCTTCCATCTGTGGGGACTCACGTGCATCTCGTTCATGTTCATGACGGTGGGAGAGGGTCGGAAGGTGCCCAGGCGGTACCGGATCCCGTCCTCCAGTGTCATGCCCCAAAACTGGCTGTAGTTGGCGGCTCTCCAGCTATGCGGGAGGAGGGGGCACGGGTCAAGAGTGCCCCAAAAAGCACCGAGGGGCGAAGGATCCCTTCCCTGTCCTCCCGGTGCCCGGTCCTTACCCGTAATTGCCCCTGTTGACAGCGTCGATCAGCTCCCCATCCATCAGGCAGGCATGGTCCTCACACTGCCACTGCCCGCCAGGGCTGCAGGTGCTGCAGAGGGGACGGCACCGGGGGGGACAGTCAGCTGGGGAGGGACGGTGTCCCTGGGGTAAAACGGGGGGGACCCCAGGTGGGTGCTGCCCCTCCCAAGCCGGGGACCCCCTGCCATTGTGGGTAGCCAGTGAGGGGCCAGGGCTGCTTCTGCACCGCGGTCTGGGGGTTGGCACCGCGGGTCGGCGCCTCGGGATGGGGTGAAACCGGGCCAGGAGCCGGCGGGCAGCCCTCTGCGTGGCCCTGGGGGCTGTCCCCCCCCCACCCCCCACCAGCCCCAGTCCCCGCAGGAGCCCGGAGGGCAGACAGAGCATGGGACAGAAAATTAGCTGAAAAGCAGCCAGGCCTGCAGACATCAGAGCGGGGCTTGGACGCCAGCCCAGGGAGGGGATTCGGGGCTGGCTGTCCGTCGTCCCCCCCCAGGGTGAGCCGCTCTGGCCAGGTTAGCCAGGAGCCCTGCAGCACCCACGGGGAGACCCGGGGCAGGGGGTGGTTGGGGGGGATGTGCCGGGTCTGGGTCCCCCTGGGGAGCCCTGGCCCCTGCTCCCCCCGCGTGGTGAGCAATGCTTGGCATGCTCCCTCCTGCCCGCCGGCCGAGCTCCCGGCACGTTCTTCCCTTTTAAGGAGCCGTGCGAGGCCGGAGCCGTGTCCTGCCAGCCTGGCCCCGATTCCACTGACAGCACCTGCACCCCTGGCACTCGCCCCATCCCCATCCCTGAGCGCTCCCGGTGCTGTGCTGGTGACCCCGCGTCTGGCCGTTCACTCCTTGGGGATTCCCAGTGGGAATTCACCTTGGGGTGCAGCCAGCTGGGTGCCCACGCCAGCCTCCTCTGCTTCACCCCGGCATTGCGTTTGCCCCCTGCCAAACCTCCCCCCCCCCAAGACCCCGCAGGAGCTGGGAAGGGACAAGGTCTGGGGTAAAGCGCTGCAGAAATTGCTGCTCTCCAGGCGCCAAGTGTGGGGGAAGAGGGTTTTGGCAGAAGAGCCTCAGCCCCTGAGGGCCAGAGCTGTTGGGGAAGGGATGCTCTCCCAGCAGCAGGGACCAGTCATCCAAGTGCACGGCTTGGCTCGGGGACCTCGACCTTTGCCCAGGGCTCGGGAACATTTTCCAGTCCCACATGCCTCCACGCCACGGTTCCAGAGAAACGCCGGGTGGCACTGGGGCTTCGGGAAGGGATCAGGCTGGCTTTTTACCTCCAGCTCCAGCGCACATGCCTGCACACACATGCACACACACGTGCTCGTGCCCTTGCACACGCCCCAGACGGAGCTTTTGATTTCCCTTATCTGCTCCATCGCTGCAAGCCAGCCAGCCCTGCCGTGTTTTGCTCCTTGTCTACGGGCAGATCTGTGCCCGCAGGTTCCCCTATCCCCCACCTCCAAGATGCCATTAATACCACCACAGCCGTTTCCAGATAAACCCCCGCGCTCCTCGCTAATGCAAACAGCGAGCTCCTGGCACGCAGCACAGACAGGCTGCTTGCACCCAAGCCGGCTGTGGGGCCGGACTCTGGTCGCCTGGCACAGAGCCGTCACGGCTGCCAGCTGCAGACGCGTCCCGTCAGGCTCGGGCAAGCTGGGCTTGGACTAGCGTGGCCAGAAAAAATGCCGGCAGCTCCGGGCTCGCGTCGGCAGCCCGCAGCCAGCCCGGCCGCGCGCTAACCCGGCGAAACGAGCGGTTCCCACAAAGGCATGCGCTGAAACTTGGGAGCGGCTCAAGGCCCCGGGCTCTCTACTCCGAATATGCCAGAGCAAAGGCATTTGGCATCAGTCCCCACCACCCAGCTCGGGCCATGTGCTCCTGCTCCCGCCGAGCCGACTGCGGGCAGCCCCGGTACTCGCCGGCCCCCCTGATGCCCTTCGTCCGGGCAGGCAGCGTGCTGGCACCAAGCCGGCGGTGCCCGCATGGCACGGGGAGCGCAGAGGCACTCACCACAGGTTGCAGTTCTCCCGGTACGTGGCTCCGGTGGGGTAGTTGCGGCCGGCGCGGGCACAGCCTGGATGGGAGAAAGGAGAGTCCCGGTGAGCGCCTGGCTGCATCAGGGGTCCCGCCAGCACCCCCAGGGTGTAAATACCAAGGGGAAAATAAATGTGGTCCTTAAAGCCAGGCAGGTGCCCGGCTGCAACTCGGCACCTCCAGACCTGCGATGGGGACCAACTCGCGCCCCACGGCGCAGGGTGGGAGCGGGGCTTGCTCGGCGCCGGGAGGGTTAACCGTGGGGCTGCGTGTGGGGCTGCCAAGCAGAGCCGGCCTCACACGCACAGCCTGGCGGGACAGGGATAAAGGGGCCAGTTGTACCCGGGAGCTGGCTCTGCTCTGCAGGGACTTCTTAGAAAGCCTTGTGCTGTGCGGCGGGGGCTGCCCCGTGCCCCCCTCTCGCCCCCGTCTGCCCTGCCCGTCCCAGCTGCCAGGCGGGTTAACTCAGGGCCAGCATCCGCCTGCCCCAGACATGACCGGGGAAGCTGGGATGGAGTCCCCCCCCCATGCCCCTGCTCTGCCCCACAGGTACGGGAGGTGCAGGGGACGGGCTGCAGGGCCACAGGCTGCTCCCGGCCCCACTTTGTATGAGTTTCCACAGCTCCGAGGGGTCCGGAGCGGCTCTGCAGCGAGGGCAGGGCTGTGGGGTGCCACATCCATTACCCCACAGGGCACCAGTGGCATCAACACAACACATTGGGCACCCCGGGGCTGGCCCCTGGCACCCACAGACCCCTGCCCGGCTGGGCTGGGGGTTGCCTCACCTGAAGCTTTGGGGAAAGGGGCCGGAATGCCCAGGCAGTACTCCCAGAAGTCAGGGCAGCAGTCGGAGACGGTGCGGTTGCAGAAGAGGTCACAGTAGCAGAGGGTGTCGTGGTAGGGCACGGTGCAGCCATCGTTACGGCCGTGGCAGCAGACGTCCCCTCGCTGGCAGTAGGACCCACCGGCATCATAGACCCCGTGCTCATACAAACCGGGACCCAGCTCCCGGCGGGTACGTACCCGGGAAGCCAGGACCGCTTCGGCCAGCAGCCAGAGGCCGAGCAGGGCCCGCAGCAGGCGCATGTTGCCGGCAATGTCCCCAGACCTGCAGCCGCTGCGGTGGGAGGGCAGTAAGCGGGGGGGGGGCAACCCGGGACCGGGGGCCCTGTGGGCAAAGGGCAGCTCCGCACCCTGCGCCAGCCCCATCCCGCTGGGTCACCCACCCCGGCCAGCACCCAGCGTGCTGCCCACCGAGCCCCCAGCCACCTCACCCGTGCCCTGCCCTCCCCCGGGACGCTCAAAACCTTCAGTTTTTTTAACTCCCCCTGCGACCACCCTGGCTCTGGGGACCCACACCGTGTTCCCCCAAAAGACCAGCTCCCCCCTGGATGCCCGCTCCCCGGATGGCCGAGGAGCCCCCTGCCCACCCCCACCTTAACCCCCCTGCTCCAAAAAGCAAAACCCCAGAAAAACAGGGCACCGGGGGAGCCTGCCGGGGTCCCGGGACCCCACCACCGCGGAGGCGCGGGCAGTGCAATGAGCTTCCAGTTCTCAGCCTGGGGTTGGGGAAGCGCTGGGGACCCCCGGGGGGGGCCAATTAGGGGAACCCACAGGGCAACGACCCCCTCCCCTCCCCCCCCC